TTCCACCGAGACGAGAACTGCGTAAGCGTCATCAAAACTCGGATTAAACTCGGGTAATTTCGGGAAAAGTCGGATTTTGAAGGAAAAATGTTAAAAATCAAGGAAAAACACAGTGAAACTTTGAAGAATCGAAAAAATAACTTGATGTGCACCATAGCACCATCAATTTCTGTCTCTGTACCAACTCTGAACTTAATTGGATCACACATGTGTGAGAAAAAGCTGGTAACATGAAAATGTGCACGCACATTGCACAGACACAACCCAAATTAATACCCCCCCCCCCCCCCCCCCCCGGATCGCAGATCCGGCGGGGGCTAAAAAGCAAGACACAAATTACAGTACTGAAGCGAATATGCTGAGTGTTAAACTATAGCCAACAAGAGAAAGTCAGATACATAAACACTGTTAAATATCAATGAATACATGTTAGTTATTGCTCATATGAACAATATCTTCTACTTGCATCTACTGGGCAATTTTAACACTTGATTGGCCAAAGGTTATTTTGTAATAATCAGAATAATGTTCTGCCAAATAGCTGATGGAATGTCAACTTATCACTACTTTTATTTGTAAAATATGTCAGTATTTGGATCTCTAAGCTGACGTTTTGAAGAAATTATATACCCTGACACTGTTATTGTAGTAATGTTTCGTCCAATGTTTTGAATGACTCCTCTCTCTATGCCAACACATCAGGAATCTACAGCAGTTTATTTTATGACAATAATTTTACTCACCTTATCACAACCAAATGCAACTAAATCGGAATCTTCTGTGATTACACATTGGGCAATTCCAACTCTATTCAAATATGCTAATTGTGCATCTGCCTCGTAAGGTGCAACAATACAGTCAACTCCAAGACTTCTTGCAGCCTATAGGCAAATTACAAATGTAAATATCATAGTTATAAATGGTAATGTTTACACCAAAGTTGAATGGCCAAATTTTGTTCATCACTAAAGGCAACAAACTGAGCATGTGGCATGTCAAATAATACATAATACAAGTAAATGCAACTGTTATGTAATTTGCAAAATATTTGCACTGTCCATAGATTTGGTAGAAATCATATGTAAGATTCTCTGGTCAATGGTCTAAGTATAACTAAATTACAAAATCAATGTTCTATGTGAAGTAACTCAAAAATGAAAAGGCTTCCAGCTATAATTTTTTTCTGACATTACAACTTTAACAGAAGTAGAATACAGTAGCTAATCTTTCTACTGAATGACCTACAAAAAAAAGACATGTTGAAAAGATATCAGTTAAATGACAGCACACTAATCACCATATTAGTAGTGTTCACGCTACATTAAGTACGGGCTAAGATTTAAGTTAATCTCATATGTTTGCATATTGGATAGACCCAATTGCGTTCTCAGGCTAAAGGAATGCATGGGCTAAGGAATGCACAAACTCAGTAAGAATATACAATCAAAGAAAGCTTAGAAAGGAACTCCCGTGTGCTGAGGGAATAGGGATCATGATGTAATATTCAGGAATATTTGAAAATGATAAACAAATTATGAATAATCTATTAAATAAGGAGCCACCAGTAGTCATCTACACACATAGACATCGTATACCTACAATAAGACTACTTAAAAATATGCATAAAAAGTCTACACAAAATTGCAACATTAAAAAGAAAACTGAAATAATTCATAAAACATTGGGGAAAATGAAACGCAACAAAAATAGTAAACAAATAAATGCCCAAAATAAACTTATAGGGCATTTAGTGAAATAGTGAAACACGAGGCTCACGCTGGGGGGCCCACATAAGGTGTTGCAATAGTGTAAATATAACAAAGCCAGACACCGATTGTTTCCTTTGCTAGGTAAAATCAGTCCCGGGACTGTGGTAAAAACAATGTACAGAATAATCGGATGAAACAACTAAAGTAAACTAGGATATATTAGAGCCAATGAATTCGTAATTTTCGACGAAAAGGGCCAGGAAAAATATCGCTCATAACAAACCATTGTGTTGAGGGGGCGGTGAACAAATGAGACACCGATTGTCAAATTGTTTTGGTAATCATCGCATGTCGATTCATGCCATTTGTACAGGGTACTCTGACACAAAAATAAGGTAAACCAGCTTACTTAGTGCTAATGATTTTGTGATTTCCCACAGGAAGAACGTTCTCAGAAATAATCCGACATGCTGATCAGCCTAGCTGCAGTTCTGTAGCTCGCTTGGTTTCGCTGTCTTTTATTTTGTTTGTCGTGGTGTTAGTAGGACCGGCAAATTGTCTTTATTGTTTTTGATTTGTTTTATATTTTTAGAAAAGTTTTTATTTTTTGTTTTCCTTTTTAGATTGTAGTTTTTTAATTTCTTTCTGTAAGACCCTTTTTTATCCTTTCCTAAGGATTTTATGCGTCTAATAAAATAAACAAGCAGCTTGTCGGCTGAGATAAAGAACAGAAGATATCATTAGAAAATGAACAATATGCATAGTATCAATGCAATGGGACTTGCTGTTTTCAACAAGAATTCAAAAATATCATTTTTCACCATAAATGATTGTTGTTTTTAACAAGAAGAAAATATCACTTTTTACCAAAAATGACAAAAATATTCACCAAAATTAGAGAATTGACGATATCATTACAGAATTAAAAAATTTGAGAGTGGTCCACATGTAGTACCTATATATGCAATATCAAAGCAATTGGACTTGCGGTTTTTAACAAGAAGTTGAAAATATCACTTTTTACCAAAAATGACAAAAATATTCACCAAAATTAGAGAATTAAAGATATGATTATGAAATGAACAAATCTGAGAGAGGTCTACCCAAGGTACATATACACCAAGTATCAAAGCATTCAGGCTTGTAGTTTTCAAGAAGAAGTTGAAAAAGTAAAACATTGACACGGACGACGGACAATCACTCATATAATAAGCTCCGTTCGACAAAGTCGTCAGCGAAGCTAAAAAATAAATAGTTCAAGTTGCGTCGCGAACGATACAATGGATTGGCGTTCGAGATTAAATAATGGTTAATACTTCTTGAATCCTCAAACTTTAGCACTAAAACAACCATTTCTACAACTCATGTGCCAGTGGTCAGTGTTTGGACAAGGAGTGAGAAAAGAAAGGGATAAAAAAAATGGTCGTTTTCCGGTCGAAAATCGAGCGATATGCGGTTGATTAAAATGCGATAAAAGCAAGAGATTAGGCGAAATGAGTACTGATGCCCATTTATAGCTTGACATGCATTCACCAAATGAGGATATGGTAGGAGTTGGTAGTACTAGTATACACAGGGAGGGAGTCCAGAGAGGGAACAGCCAGCATCCCTTTTACGGGGAAAACATGAAATCTCAACGAATTTATTTCGTTCTCACATGTAATATTAGGTTTTGAGGGCTTCTGAGTTCAAAAAAGATGACTAAATCAACCAAAAAGCATGCGTTTAGAGACATACCTATTCAGAAGTTGGTTTGCCAATACTTAATCAATTTTTAGGACCTAGGCTACTCTATTGACATTGGCTGTTTATTTCATGAATTTGGCACTTGAGGTTGCTATTGTAACCTATTGTAAAAAGGTGCCAAAAGCTAACAAGAACCTATGTTTGTGAACAACGATCACAGGGTAAAGCAAAAACAATAGCGCCGTGGCTACTTCCGTTAGTATCTTCCATGGATAGAGGGACTGTGACTGAATGAATGAATACACTTAGTGCTTTTAAACTTTATTTTAGAACTCTCCATACATGTATGTACTCATTACAGACCACCTCTGACTTCATGCTTACTTACCTGCATAACATCCAAAGCCATCTTAGATGTAACATTCACACATTTAGTAAAGCAGTCTCTGGCTTCACTAACTTTGCCTTCCCTCAGAAACTGTTTACCTTTGGCAAGATATGTTTGACGGCGCCTAAAAATTGGAATCATTAATTAGTAAACCCAAAAACCTGTCGTCAAGCTTTTCCAGTTACATGGAGGAACGGTGAAATTTCTAGTTCAGTAACAATTTTTTATTTATCACAGAATGTTTACTTGCCACTGGAAGCTTTATCCAATAATTAATTTATTTATACAACACAATCATGAACCAGTAAACTAATTGTTGATCATTGTCTGATCTGACAGCTAGGGGTTGAATTAGCTTGGCAGCATGTACACAAGTTAAAAAACTCACTCTCTTCTTGACTTTTCCACTGATTCTTTTGACGGTAGATTACATCCATCAAACACAAGGATTGGTTTCACGTTCATGGATAACAACATATTTACAAACTTGAGAACATATCTCACATATCTGTAAAACAATTTGTCAAATATAAGCACTGACAATTTACACAGTCCCAGCCATCGATTTATAGTCAAGATTTAATTATTTGAATGATCAAATTGCTTTACAAAAAAGACAACACAAGAACCTCTCTTCCTCCCTCTCTCCCTCCCTCACTCACTATTTTGTTTAATAATTTTCGCTGAAAAGGTATTTTGGCTGTTTTGTACAAGATTCAATTTTTGACTAGTTGAATTTAAATTATTGGGTAATGTTATTTTCACTGGATTATATTTGCACTGATTCATTCCTTTAACTATTAAAAATGAATTTAAAGTGAAAATAAAGTAATTCACAAAATGGTAGCCTTATTTAATCTACAGGTTGTAAAAAGGGTGGACGGACATTTCAGCAAAGAGTTTAGACCAGGGCAGACATTTCAATGGTAAGATGATCTTAGAAACGTAATAAACTAAATATTTCTATAAACAACTGTATGACATCACTTTAATAAAAGACTATGTATTAAATATTTCTAGTAGCAATTTTGAACAATTTTATTAAATAGTTTATTTACTTTCTAGTATAAAAAATGGCCGGAGCATAAATACTTAATCCTTATAAATTAGAACTTCAATTCTCAACATACGAAACGCATCACACATGTACATGAAATGCAGTTATGAGGTGCAACTTTTTGTTATATACATTTTTTTTGCTGTCAACTATGGTGTTTTTATCGATAGTCGAATCTCAAAACCTGGTTTGTATTTTAGAATAACTTGTTTTGCCCTTTTTTTTTTTATTATCCTTGTGACCATCATGTAAATCATATAAGATATTTAAATACATGTACTTGTATTTTCACTTAAATTAAATTAAATATATACAATTCAAAAAACAATGGATATCTAAATGCCCATGTAAAATGGCACGTCACTCAATGTGTTTTGTCTACTGGCCAAAAAATCCCTATTTCCCACTCCAGAATAAACCTTTAAACACTTATTGTTATGAAATATCTGATATCAACACATAATGATGGATGTGAATTTCACACTGAAATACCCATTACGTATATTAATAACATGACTGTAGTTGTCCGAGTATAAGCCGCCCCCCCCCCTCCAAATTTACAGCATTTTACAACAAGTCATTTATCCAATTATCACCCAGGGCAATTTTTCGGCAGTTTTTAAAGTTGTTTTTTAAATATTTTGGCGTAATTTTTCAGACATTTCAATCTTACCTTATGCCTAAAATAGTCTATTTAAGTTTTTATTTATTTATTTATTTATTTTGACTAGCATGAATTGGTAAGCTTTGTTCCGACAATGAGCTGTTATCACTGTAAACAATGTTCAATTATTCTTCTAATGCTCAGTTTATCTTTTGAGAACAAATATTTTTTTTATTTGAAAAAAAAATCATGTCGTTTTCCTATCAAAGTCCAAGCTAAAAGTTGGTACTACAAAATCTGCAAATCTCATGCACGTTACGTTGCGTTCAATAACATTAACATATGTAAATAAGCTATGGTCATTTGAACATGTTAGCATCATCCAGCATTTTGATTGGTTAATTAGCAATTTGACCTATTAGGTAAACTCCTACAAGATATAGAACATGGCGGATATACCCTACAGCATCGAGTGTTTATATGCGACCGGAATGATTTGCTTACAATGAAACTAAGTGGAATTTTATTTGCATTTCATAACAATTCAATGAATGATTTTGTGAAACGCAGCATGACCGAATTACGCAACCGTGATCATTTGCTGCTATGCAATGCAGTTGTGATAGTTTTGATTTGAAACTTCGTTTAGAATATACTTTCGTTACCCCCAAAACAAACAGACCACATGAAATGCAGGATCGAATGCTGTTCCACTTAGTAAACACACCCAAGAGTGATTAATTACCCCAGGGCACAACGGCCGATCCTCAAGTTAATTTGGACAATGCTAGTCGAAGACATTAGTATCGTACACCCGATGATTTGTTTATGAATAAATTAGCATAAATTATCGTTCAGGAGAAGTTTTAAATTTTATTCACTTATCAGCTCCCCCTTAATTTTTTGTCAATTTGCTGTTTTCCCAGAGGGTTTTTACTCAGACAACTACGGTATAAAAGTGGTAAAACGTTGCTTTTTTATATGTTACAACCGCTAATTTCAAATACTGAAGATCATTTATTTTACAGAAGAGAATCACATGTCGAAACGTCCGGCCTGGTCGAAACTCTTGGCTAAAACGTCTGGGGCAGAAACGTTCGGCATATCGTAAAAAGTGATCCCAGAAAAACAAAAACAAATTGGCACACTCATTTCTAAGTCATTAGACACAACAAATCATTTGACCAACTTTGAGGATACGTGAAAGGAACTGCTAAACCAAATATTGTTATTACATCACGAATCATACAACTTACTGATCTGTTTTTTCTCCCTTAGCCAACTGCATTGCACATGCAAATGCTCCTTTATGTAACCAACAATATGTATCGACAGCAACGGTGTAACCAGCATACTTGCTGATATTAGCTGGCTCTGTGGCATCCTTCATCAATGGCAGTAATCCTTGTATACCCATTCTAGGCACCTGTCCATGTAAGTGTGCAAGAAATTTAGGTTTTAACAGTACATTAGATCAAACATGTACCTGTCATGTTTACACTTGGCCAATTCACGATTAATGGCCACTTGGGTAATATTATTATCTTCCTACATGTATGAAGTAAATTTGGCACTAAATAACTTTTCTGTTTCCAACAAAAAAGACAAGGTAAATACTTATTCAGTTAATAATAACGTATGAAATTAATGTAGCAACAGGGAAAACTACCTGGTATCTGCGATTCAGAAATTCTCAAAAAGTTTACAAAGCATACCAATGTTTATCTGAGTGATTACCTGATGACCAACTTCATAGGAGGAACAAATCTAAAAGTTGTTTTACACTTTGCAAGGTTTGTGAATCCACATTTATTGTGTTTTTTTTTTTTGTTTTTTTATTTGTGAGCAGTTTACAAGGAACATGTGTCTAAATGCTTTAGTTTTCTTATTACAGCCAACAGATTGTTGCTATCTATAGTTATTTGGTCATACTTTAGCTAGGAAACAAAGGCAGATTAAGAAAAAATAGGCCAATGGCCTGTTGCTTAACGGCTATTGTACAAAAGATTAGTGCTGTATATGACAAATACCCCAAAAGGCAGTGAGTGAGACAATAATGAATAAAACATAATGCTAAAAGTGGAATTTTTTACAAAAATAACAGAAATATTCAATAAAATTAGAATCAAAGGGAGCTTATAAAGAACTCCAGTGTTGAGAGCATAACATAACATGATATTTGCAATTATCTGTATTCGTAATACATAAGTAAGTTTTGTTGAAATATGTTGAATGATTCTTGAAATAGCACCCAAATAGCTTGAATTTCACTAGCTGATATGCAAATTATCTAGTTTGCATAAATTTCCACCAAAAACTAAATGTATCTGGAAACTGCCCCAACACATCTATGTACAGAGTTTTATTAAAACATTTTAAATGGTTCTCAAGGTATCACCAAAATAGCCTAAATATTGGTATGTAAATTAGGCAATTTGCATAATTTCCACCAAAATCAATCACGTCTATACACATTTAAATATGTTGAGTGGTTATGTTTTCATTACAATCACAATAGACGATTCAAAAAAAAAATTGAACTCCCATGTGCTATGTGAGAATGAGAAACAGTTGACATTGGAAATAGTGGTTAGTTGAAATTCTATTTTCAACCAAAAATGACAAAAATATTTGCCAAAATTAGAGAATTAAAAATATGGCCATGGGATGAACAAATCTAGTAGATGTCAACACAAGGTACACACACACCAAGTATCAAAGCATTCACGCTACCGGTTTTGAAGAAGAAGTCGAAAATAGAATTTTTGACTAAAATTGACCATTTTAAAATATTCGCCAATATTAAAAAAATGAAAATTACCAAACTAATAAAAAAACTGATAGAGGACAACCCAAGGCACATGCACTATCAATATCAGAACTGTAGACCACTTAGTGGCATAGTAGCATAGAAGAAATATTATAGTTTTGGGGGGCTAATTTGCATAATTTTTGACAGATCAACTTCTCATGATCAAATTACCATCTACACTGATCATGGCATCCACACACCTGAGCCAAAAATAAGTCACAGTTTAGTTTTCCTATCAAAACAAATTGTGCAGAATGGTCTGCCTAAATAGGTCCCATATTAGCAACATAAGTAAATACTACAAAGAAAAAGTGAAATTATTGATGATAATGATACATGCTTAGAAGTTACATCCGGACTTCACTGTAAGGGCACAGGTACAATACACAGTACTAGGTCAAAATAACACAATTATTGAATTAAGGTAGCAGGATAGTTTTTTTGTATGAAAAATGTAAAACACCTATAATCGGAATAAATTTTACAAGAGACCATGCAATCTATATATGTTTGGAAAGCTCTTGACTTGTATTTTCCTATTATTAATATTTTGTGAACATTTTGTTTGTCTTAGCGTCACGCGGGGCTGATAATTTAACTAACATGAATAAAATTTTAATTGTCATCTCTACAGTCATTCATGCGATCAAAAACTTAACACTGTTTTGAAGCAAAGGATATGAAGTTTACATCCGTATTTCTATTTTTTGCATTAAGTTTTTTTTTTTTCTTTCCGAAAATCACAAATTTCAAGCACGTTTTTGGTGTTAAAGTTAGAGTATACCGTTGGTTTGCGCGAGGTTTGTGAAAAAACGCAATAGAATTTTGCAAATATGCAAATGCGGATATGAAGACAACATATCAAAGAGTAAGAAAAGCT